CTACCCATTGAGCCCAACAATCCAGCCAGTTTTCTGTCAACCTTGCAATCCATTCATCCAACACATACTTCCTTAGCTTGCTTGCAAGAATGCTGTGGGAGATGATATCAAAAGCCTTGCTAAAGTCAAAGTATATTATGTCTACTGCTTTCCCCACATCCACAGAGTCAGTTATCTCACCACAGAAGGCAATCAGGTTGGTCAGGTATGACTTGCCCTTGGGGAACCCATGCTGACTGGTCCTAATCACCTTCTTCTCCTCCAAGTGTTTAGAAATGGATTCCCTGAGGACCTGCTCCATGATTTTTCCAGAGACTGAAGTGAGGATGACTGGTCTGTAGTTCCCTGAATCCACCTTCTTCCCTTTGTTAAACTTGGACACTATATTTGCCCTTTTCCAATCATCCAGGACCTCCCAATTGCCACAATTTTTTAAAGATAATGGCCAGTGGCTCTGCAAACACATCAGACAACTCCCTCAGCACCCTTGATGCACTCCATCCAGCCCTGTGAATGCATACATGTCCAGCTTTTCTAAATAGTCCCTAACCTGTTTTTTCATTACTGCTGGCTGTTCACCTTGTCCCAAACTGTGCTGCCCAGTGCAATAGCCTGGGAGCTGACCTTGCCTATGAAGACCGAGGTAAAAAAGGCATTGAGTACTTCTGCCTTTTCCTCATCATCTGTCACTAGGTTGCCTCCCCTATTCAGTAAGGGACCCACATTTTCCCTGACCTTCCTCTTATTGCTGACATACTTGTAGGAACCCTTCTTGTTACCCTTCAGGTCCCTTGCTAGCTGCAACTACAATTGTGCTTTGGCCTTCCTGACTTCATCCCTCCATGCCTGAACAATGCTCTTATACTCCTCCCTAATTGTTTGTCCAAGCTTCCAGTTCTTGTAAGATTCCTTTTGGTGTTTAAGCTCACTGAAGAGTTCTCTGCTAAGCCAAGCTGGTTGCCTGTCACATTTGCTATTCTTTCTGCACATCAAGAAGTTTGTTTTTGCACCCTCAGTAAGGTCTTACCCAAGCCATCTGCTCTAGTAGGATTCAAAATGACTCTCATACAATTGTACTGAGGGGCACAGTTCATGGGTGGTAGTGTTGGCAGTGAGCAGCAACTGCCTGCAGAAGCCAGTGGTGGCAGGGAGGGGTGGGTGAGCGGAGACCACCCAGCTTCCGGCAGTGGGGGCAGGGCAGCGACTGCCTACAGAAGCTGGCAGCAGCACCAGCAGCAGGGGGTGGCAAGCAGCGACCACCTGCAGAAGCCAGTGGCGATGTTGGCCAATCGGGGTGGGGCACGTGCCCTCCCCCCCCCCGTCCTCCCTACCAGATGCCTATGCCTGTATTAAGGCCATGGGCAGGGTTTTGCTGGATTGAGAACTATTAGCTTTCTCTGTCTCAGCTGGGAAGATGAGGGGAGGGGGCAAACAATGGCAAGTGTGCCATTAGAGATGATAAATGACAGCTTGTGAGTGTGGGGCAACGGAGCACCCCAGCAGTATGTGCACACACCACAGGAATAGCTATTTCTGCTGTGCCATGTAATGAGTGGGCAGTCAGGGTTCCATAGATGAGGACTTACTCAACTCATGGTTTTATGGATCTCACAGAAACCGCAAAAAACAACAAAAAACTCTTAATAAAAATAAAATACTGGGTCTCCAGTGGGAGCCAGTGGTCTACATTGCTGGGAGCAGAAGGTGCTGGCTGGTGTGGTGGCAAAAAGGGCAGCAAAAATGGTAACTGCCCCCTTGTCCCTCCTCCCCTCAATCGGGCCGCTCCGCCAGTCAGCACTGAAGTGCAGGGTGGCACAAAGGGCAGCCAGCAATCGAGATGGTGGCTATCCCCTTGTCCTTCCTCTCTGCTCATCAGCATTGAGGAGTGGGGCCACTGTGAAAGGCCATGAAATCGGCTCTGTGCACCACGAGCAGGATGCAAAAAACCCTCCGTTTTGCAGCGATTTAAGCAGGTTCCCATCTGTGGCACTGAGGTGCCTTTCCATGGGAGTTGGATGCCCAACTACCTTAGGCATCAGAAAACCAGCTGGAATGAAACAAACCCCAGAAGTGGCTGGACCTTAATTCTGGGACCATTTCACTCCACAGCTGGCCCTGGATCTGGCCCGTCTCCTAGGTGACACTTTCTTCTAACAGACCCATCTGGAAGCCTCTGGTGGGAGTGCAGAAAAGCAGAATGCCTCCCTCTCCACCTAGCAAACCCCTGTGGGGCCTGACAGCAGCAGGGAGCAGAATCTATGCTGCTATGACACCAGGTGCATGTCACCAAATGATGGGGCTGAAGCTTGCCTTGATTCTGCCAAGTGCTGTGCTCCACCCACCCCCATTCCTTCCAGAGCAAGATGTGAGTGCTCAGCATCCTGCCTGCAAAGCCCTGCAAAGAGTTCTGGCTGTAGGCAATGCTGAGCTGGCAGCCCCAGAGCTGCTGACAGGGTCAACGGCACAAAGGGTGATAAAAAGCTCAAGTCAGCAGCAATCGGAGAACCTTAAACACCTCAGGACACCCAATGTTTTCTAGATAAGTCACATGGGACAGAGGATGCTACTGACTGAGCAGGACTCTTACTTCAGTATTTGTGTTACAACAGCACTTAGAAATTGCAAGTGGTAAGATCAGAGTCTACTGTGCTAGACACCAGGCAGAGACGTGAGAAGGACAGCTCCCGTTTCAAACAGCTCACACTCTGCAGAGACCAAGGGAAAACTGAAAGAAATTGACATGCCTGAAGGCATTCAGTTCAATGGCAGAGCCTAGAATTGCACTTCAGTCTCCTGCCTCCAGTCCACTGCCTGATCCACTAGGTCAGGGCTGTCCAACTAGCAGCCTATGGGCTGTATGTGACCTGCAAGGGGTTGAGTTGTGGCCCCAGGCTCCTGCTTCACCATTGCTTCCCTTATTCCTCCAGCTGCCCCAGTCCCAGGGGACAGGGCAGTGTGGTGCAGGGGGAGTGGAATGGAGGCATAGGCAACTGGTAGGGGGAGCATGGGGGGGGACAAGTGCCCCCCCAGAATTGGCCACCACCGGCTTCTGCAGGTAGTTGCTGCTTGCCACCCCTTCCCCCCACTTTCTGCAGGCAGTTGTCTTTTCCCACACCACCGCCACTGCCCACAAACTGTGCCCCCCCAGTCTCAGGAGGCACCAGTCACCCGTGAGTGGAGGATGAGTCCAGGATACTTGGATACATGGTGCAGCATTGGTAGGAGGTGCCCAAGTAGTGTAGTGGCAGGCAGGAGGTGCCTGCACAGGTAGGGAGCAGCAGTGAAGGGGGGGGGGGGTGAGGAGCTCATCTGTACTGATGCATAGTGCAGCAGCTGTGGGAGGAGTGCCTGCGCCGGTGTATGGTACAGCAGCAGGGGCATCTGAATGGCCCAGGGCTTGCCAAAGTATGATCTGGTGCAGTCTGCAAAGCATTGCGGCTCTTACTGATGTGGCCTGTGGGGTGTGCAGCCCCCAACTGCTTGGAAACTGAGCTGCCTTGCACTAGACTACACTGCCTCCCACATGCCTTTGTTTTAAAAGCAAAGTCAAATTAATAGGACATTTAAGAATTTGTGAGCAACCAAGGCAAGCCTCTGGGCACTGGACTTACGCTAATATCTATGAACACTGGGATGGGACAGGTCTACCTGCAAGGAAACCCTTCCTATTTCCTGGGCTAAGATCCCAGTTGCCTCTAGGCCAGTACCTACAAGCTGACTTCACTGTATTGGAACAGACACTGCATTTGTCCCTGGACAAGCTGTGCTTGTGCGTGTCTATAACAGGGGGCCTACTCAGGACTGATCTACCAATGCCCTACCCACCTGCCTTCTTGCCTGCCATGCCTTGTAGTTAATTAATTAAGTTGTTGATCAGGTCAGAGGCTGCCTATTTCTTGCCCTGATGCCAGGGGGCACTATCTGCAGCTCCGTTCCTCCCCTACACCACAGCCCAAGCCTCGCAGATGGCATCCAGAATTGTTAATGTCACCGGCTCCACGCTGGGCCCCAGAATCCTCCCAATCAGACCCCAACTAGATTCCTCTCCTCAGGTGGCCTACTCCACCTTCAGTCGGGGCTGCCTAGCTCCATAACCTATTCCCCCTTACGGATGTGATCCCCCCCAGGACCTTTGGCCACACAGGCCCTGGCCCACCTCCAGCCCAGTCGGAGACCCAGGCCCTCAGCTCTGAGTGTTCCTTGCAGTGGGCCCCTGGCCCTTTGACCCTTCCAGTCCTGGCCCCAGCATTGACCAGTCAGGGGATCCCAAGTCAGGCTTCTGAATCTATCGCCCCACTCTCACTCCTGGGGCCACCTTCTGAACCCTACTAGTGGGTAACCCACCCAGCTGTGGGAGCTGGGGTTATTAAGGTGCCCCAATCCACCTTTCACTGGGGTGGTAACTAGTCTGGCATTTCCTGGGGGCTCCTGCACCACTGAGAGCCCCGCCAGGCCACCCACTCCTGGCAGGGTGCAGTTTTAGGTCATGCCCAGGACCAGGAGCCTCCTAGCCATCCCCTACAGCTCCTCCCTTACCTCCAGGTGGTCCAAGCAGCCTTGCAGCCAGGCAATGCTACTGCCTGGCCTGCCAGCAACAAACTGCTCTGTTTATATAGGTGACCAGAGATCTAAAATGGCCACCGCAATGAAGCACCTGCTGGCCGCTTGGCTGAGCCCTTAAAGTGGCAGGCACAAACAGTGCCCTGTCACAGTGTCCCAGAACAGAAATGTCCCGGGATTGGCCTCTACACACATCGCCCTTCTACTCAGTTTGGTGAGTGGTTGAATGAACTACCACTTTCTTGCCACTTAATCCATGAGTTAACCATTCAGAAAGACTATATGATGTCTCAGGAAAAAATGTACTTATGAGCATTGCTAGGATTTACCCTGGAACAATGAACATGGAAATAGCCCAGAAAATGCAGGAAATCTGAGCAACTGCACTTTGTTCCCCCCAAAAAATCATTTATGACACCCAGTGTTTGGTTCTACCTTACCTGTCAATGGGTTTGACAATGAAGGGGATGGCAGAGAGACCGACAGCTGTAGTTGTCCACTTCCGAACTGAGACTGGCCACCGGGTCATGGCACCCAAGAGGTAGAGGGAGGCAGCACAGATGCGGTTAATCGTGAAGCCAGGGATGGCCACAGAAGCCAGAGACTGCCATATAAAGGTATCCACCACAGCCACAGCCACCCGTGCTCTCTTCCCTGAGCTGTGCTCATGAGCCTGTGGAAGCAACAACAGCAAGAGATGTCAGGAAAATGTACCGGGAGGGATGGACAGAACAGGGTGAGCAGGGTTGCAGGGTAAACACCGAGGAGGAAGAGACAAGGATATACAAAGGGTTTCAGTTCAGAGTGCAGAGAGGAAATGACCATAGAGATGAGGGCAAAAGACAACACATGTACCATGAAATGTGTGTGCACATACATATGCAGAAGGTTGCATGTACATGCATGCAACCAGTGAACATTTGTGTGTACACAGGTGTGGGTGCGTGTTCATCATGCAGGTCTGGGTGCACTGGCTTCAGTGGGCGAGCTGGCACTCCCATAAAGTCTGCAGGATATAAACAAACACAACGCTCCAGCTGTCCCTGGGGCAGGGCATCAAGACTAAGGACCATGGAGCAGAGCTCAGGGGCTCTGCTGGGCAGCACAACAACTCACACAGAGGAAGCCACAAAGCCAGGGTTCTGGCGGTTGGAAACTACAGCCTCAAGCGATCAGTCTTTCACCTGGCCATGACTGGGATCCTACCCAACTGATCTGCGCCTTGCTTCATCTGTGCTTCCCAGGCCCCTAGCTACTGTGGGAAACAAGTCAACACCAGCCCGCTCTTTTCCTCTGCCTCATCGCTTCAGGCAACATGTCAGTGGGGCACACACCCTTCTGCACTCCTGGAAGCATGGCTGCTAAGTCCTAGACAGCTGGATTTGCTGACAGTCCCTGCACCCCACACCCAAATGCTCTGGCACAGGTGCATTATGAAACATTTGGCACTGGCTGCAGCTACACACAGGTTGGACGATCTGTTCCAAAATGCGAGATGAGACAGGCCTCAGGGGTGAGCGGAGGAAGACTGAAAGCAAAGGACTGATGCAGCCTGGATGACCCTGAAAGACAGCACATGCTGGCAGTGCAGCGACTGCAAGCCTCCTTCCACCTCCTCAAGCAGACAAGTGCATAGCCAACATCACCGCAACTCAGAGACCTGCAGACAAGAATCTGCCTGGAACTTGTTGCAGGTGAAGCAGGGGGAGAAATAAGGCACAGCGGCCCAGGGGACCACGCAGCAGAAGTCCACAGGACTGAGCATGTCTGCGTTGAAGGGAGATCACTCCCGGGCTGGGAGGCAGAGGACAGCACCTGGCACCTGAGCAGAGACAACATCTCTGGCAGAGAGCAGGCTAGGGCAGGATGTCAGTGGGGATGGAGCCAGCGTAGGAACCAGCATAGCCCCAGCACAACGGCGGCGTAGCAGGGCGGCTGGGGCCAGGGCAGTGCACAGGGCAGTGTTGGGTGGAGCAGCAGCTATTTCTGGGCCCCTCCCTGCACGAGGCACCTGCCCCCCGACTTACACTGCCGAGCAGAAGGCAGAGGAGCTCGGAGCCCCCCGCACGCAGGCACCACCCCTGCTCTCCCCCACCCCCGGCCAGCCAGGCCCCGAGACAGGCTGGCGCTCTCGCCCCTCTCCGAGGCCGTGGGTGCGCCGTGTGTGCCCAGCCAGCTACCCCGCGGCAGCGCCCCACCTACCTGGGGAGCAGCACAGGGGGGCAGGAAGTGGGGGGGCACTCACCGCCGCCGCTCTCTTTCCCTTGTCAACGGCGTCAACCGTCACGTAGGCCGTGGCCACGCCGTAGGTGCTCCACACCAGCCAGACGGGCACGATGGCTCGGAAGGACTCTCCCACCTCGTTGGCGTAGCCTACGGGCAGCGGGGCGCAGGGGTTACAGCGGGGCCCGCCGGGACCCCCAGGGCTGGGCCTCGCAGAGCTGCCGCCCGCCC